GGGGGGTGAGTGGCAGACGTTTTACGGAGTCCTCACCACGGTCTCTAACCCTCCTCCTTTGTCATTCAGGCTTTGAACCTACCATCCATTAATACTGTAATTAATCGTTAATCACTGTAGTGTCTCAGAAGGAAAAAAGGCAAGTTACCCTGACCGGCGCTCGTACCCGGGACGTCTCGAATCTGGGTTTGACGCTCTAATGATTTTTATACACCTAGAAAGATTTGCTGTTAATTGAGTCAACGTGAATTATTTTGTTATAAAATTTGAAACTTTTTATTTGTATTTCTTAGGAGTTGTTACCGTTGATGGTAGTACATTCGTGCATAAGCCAGCATTAAATATCAGCTCGAAGAAGCAGCAAGCAAAGATTCGCGAGAAGCTACAGATTATGAAAGAAAGACGAGAGCTTGCAGAGAAACTTAGGTAGGATGCTTTATTAGTTTTTTTTTAAATTGTCTAAGAGGATGTGTTAATCAACAGTAGAATAGCATTGACCGAAGTCATTACTTTTGTTATTATTGTCCCCTGCTTAAGCGGGCCACGTCAGATCAAATTCAACTGCCGTATAACCTGAAGTATCTTGAAGCAGTCATTCTAAGATCGCTCTCGCAGTAGTTCATGAACCTCTGACTAGCCAGTCATTTGTAAATTTTTCGAAGATGACCGTTGATACTTGAAAATGTTTTCCGTATACTGCATCTTCGATATAATTTAGTGTTTTGCAAGTTTCTTGGCTGTCTCGATAAAAAGTACAATGTAAGAGGCCTACTGTTTATTTAGCATATTCTAAAGACAGGGTTAGGAGCCTGGAATAAAACACTTTGATGGGTGAAGTTTTCATAACCCGGAACGGTATTCTTTCAATACGAAATATAATATACTGAGAGATTTTGTAGTCTCAGAAATCACTAGGTTTACAATTAAAGCTCCGTAACAGAGAGGAATAAGAATTGCAAAGGTAAAATAAGATGAAAGGAAAAGAAGAGCAAGTAAACTAGAAAAACGAAAATACTTAGAAATGGGTGAGTAGAAATTAAACGATTTAGGATGAGGCTCCAACTAGAGGACAGATCTTTCAAGCTTAATTCTTCATTAGTATGGGCTGCATTAAAAGCTATGGTGAAGGCCGTTCACGAGACCCATAGTGGTGTTGTTTCGATTCAACAACTAATGAAATTGATTAATCTATTTTTCAAATAGGGAACGACAGACTGCTTTCAGTAGTTTAGATGTGGTTTAGTCAAAGAAACAAAGAGATCGTCCAGAGGGCTCTCAAGATTAATAGATTGTATATTGTAGATCGTATTAGAATGCGGATTGAACGATAATCGAAATCGATTCAGGTAACGTTTAACAACGTCCAGAAGATATCACGCAGTTTCTTTCGCAGAGAAAACGAACTTTCCTTAGCGAAAGTTTTTTTTCCAGCTTTATGGTTTACTGAAACCTGTCATTAAATTCTATTTCTTACATATAGGGAGATGCATCGCCTCCTATGCCGTGACAGTCTCATTTACGACCGTTTCACGGTTCATAAGTGAGCTGCAGAGGCTGTTTAACGGTAATGAATCTTCGTGAAATGCATTTATTGCCCATAGTCCTTCTTGTCTTCTGAGAAAGACTTTCAGGTTTCATCTCACTTCTCAGGTTCGATTTCATTCATGAGAATGTTGCAGTGTATCGGCCTTCTGAATCGGGAAGATCATTTGTTATCTAGACTTTTCCGTGCTACCGAAGATGAAGAAGAATTGTCCACCGCAGAATGGGTGCAGAGGAACAGAAAACTGGAAGAGGAGCGACGCTTAGCCGAAGAAAAGGTAAACTTATTGGTTATTTATTACGTTTTCTGATATTTGTATTCCTCGAATTTTCTAGGCGAAGACATTCGAAGAAGTCGACAAAGTTTTCGAAGATCCCAACACCTTAAAAGTATGTAGGACTTTATGACCAAATGTGAGTGCGAAGCTCTGCTTTTAGCCTGAATATACGTCTGAGAATCTCGCTGGTCTGACCATAGAACATCCGAAAGAAGCGTTTCTCAACCAACGGGAAACCGTCCTCGTCCTCAAAGACAAGGGTAACGTTAACTTATATAGTCGAAATATTTGTTTTGAATGCTTAACTGATTGCATTTGCATGTGAGGCACATCCCCCTTCAGACTCTGCGAATCCAGCTGACAGAAAACACATGAATTATTTTAAAATGAAATTTGGAGGCTTTGTGAAAACAGAACGAACACGGCTTATTTATACAGAGCGCACCGATTGTGATCTCTGGGGATCATTCAATACCTTTCAGATCATCACTGTGTCCAGTGCATGCGTTAATTATAAATAAGCCATTTTCAGCATGACTATCATCATATGAACAAAATCTTCTATGTGTTAAAACAATGCCATTGTTGTGAGTTTATTATCAAAATGTTAGTGTTCTGTGTCGCTGAGGAGAATGAAAGTCTCATGTCGCTTGTCCGGATCTGCATAACATAAGACGCATATATGAAATACATATTCCGTCACTTCGTTAAAATCTATTTATGCAGTAAAACGTATGCAGTATGTGATAGAAAATTGGAGGTGGAAAAGTACATCATTGCGTTTAACCTATGGTTAGAGTCTGAGAATGAATAGATGTATGAAGATAAGCGATTCGGTATTAACCGATATCAGAAAAGCTTGAAATTGCAAAAAAATCTGAAGCGGAAGACAACAAACGCACCCGTATGCAACAGTTGTGATCAGCAGAATCATTTATTGAATGTAAATATAATATAATGGTCGAACCAGCGCGTCAGTATGAATCGCTCCTTACTTTTTCAGTAAATTTAGGCACATTTCCATTTGTGATACTGCGTAGTCGGCAGACAGGGCATTGCTTAGTAAATGGGGTTGTACCTACAGGCGGAGATCACGAGTTCAGGCCGATCAGACTATTGACTATTCATTCTTTCGAGGTGGGTAAACGAGTATAACTTCGTGGGAAATTAAATTAAAAGTCACACCGCAACGCTTGTCACGTAGTTGTGGACATTGTCTTAAAAGCAGGCACTCCTGGTTGATGACAGAAGAGGAAATCACCGCTGCAGCATTTGCTCCGTGAAAAAAAGGGTGCCAGAAATGGTGCCCGTCATGGATGTATGTGGGACACCCGCCTACGAACTCTTAAATGCTTAGCTTTATCATACGTTAACTCTCTTATCAAAGGAATGAACTTTTAAGGCAAATGTGACTCAATATGTATGATTAATTTTTGTTTCGAAGCATATAACTGACGCTGTTGCATGGTGGTTTAGACGTCCTCGACGAAAGCGAAGATATTCTGGTTGATCCAAAATTGACTGACGAAGAACATTGGAAAGAAAACGTCGAATTGAGGAAGCGCAAGCCGGATTACAATCCTTATGAGGAAGAATTGGACGAGTTTGGCAACGTATGGTTTTATAATTGTTTCTGCATATGATATTACTGTACTTTTTATTAGATGCTGCTTTCAGATAGATGAGAAGTACTGTTTAAGAGTTTCTTACAAAAATGAACGTTGTATTTCTTCACAATGAAGTAAATTTTAAGAGAAGTGTTAGAGGTTAAGGTAAGATGTATGCTGCTTGTAAACTTGTTTTCATATGGATGGCGATGGTATGAAATCTGACATTTCTATAGACGAGGCTACAAAAGGAAGGAGTTTCGGCAGCGTACAAAATGACAGGCATTTGACCTAAAGCCGAAAGATTAATATTAATTAAAAATGGCTAGTGAGGCTCACTGCAGGTTTTCATTAGCTGAATGTCTTAAAATTTTTATAAAGAGCCATTTTGGTGAAAAGATTAATAAGACGGTTAAATGCCACCAAGAAAAATTTTTAAGGACATTCTACCACCGAAAGATTTTAGAAACTGAACGCGATCCTCTTTTGCGTTTAAAATGGTCCACTACTGCGCTAAATATGTTGTTTCTAAATATGATTTGTCTTTGGTTTAATTTTTATGAATAGTATAAAAGTTTTTTGTGCTTAATTTAATTTATATGTTTTTTGGCCTAATCATAATCTGCTGCAATTGCTTTGCTTATTGTTTTTATTTTAGCTGAAGGAAAAAGTTCTTCTGAAAAAATATGAGGAAGAAATTCATGGAAAGACTAAAGAGTCTTTTAAAGTTGGTAAGTTGATTGGTTTAATCAGCCTCTTAAAGCATGAAGTCAGCCGAAATATGATCTAATGAGCCACTGTACTGTAACCTTGATCAGTTTCGTTTTTTTTTCAGTTAGTAGTCCTTAATCTGATTCAGGTTTGAGTATATTTTCATTATTGAACACGTGGACTAATTTGTATAATGCGCCGTTCTCACTCGTGAGTCTTGGCGACCTGATTCATCTCCATTACGGCAAAGTTAGTTATGATGTTATGAATTTCACTTCGGGGCTGCATCCCCAACATGGTGATATGACAATGGATGGCAGAGAAAGAAGTTATAGCCGAAAGCAGAACGGAGTTGATATAGTGTTCCAAGTGTGTATTCGGATCATCGACTGGAGTTTTTCAGTGATGTTCATAGACTTATGTCCTGGCTGGCAGATTAGGTCGCTGGGTCACCCGCCATGACGGTGGGAAGATTATATTAGGAACGGGGACTGCCGCGTTTTCAGAGAGAGAGAGAAAGAAAGAAAGAAAGAGAGAGAGGAGGGGGAGTGAGAGAACCCTGGAAAACTCGAGGAATGGCGGGTATGTTACGTATCATCACTGATTACTGGCCGGTTTAGGTGATATAAATGATAAATTTTTGAATAGATAACATGTAAAGCTGATAAACTTATTGTCACCTGAACGGCTTTGTTTCGATTCTGGGCCCTCTTTTTTTCATGTGCTTTGTGTAGCACACATTTAATTGAATAGCCATAGCCATGTTTCACTAGGCTATTCAGTTGATTAATTATTTATCTATTAATTATTATTCAGGTTTAGACATCATTGTTTCAAATGTTTATTTGTGTAATTCCTAAACGCCTTCACTCTTGAAGGCGAATCTGGCGAAGTTGACGTATCAGAAAGAATGAAGGCTCTTAAGGCCTTGGCTCAAACGAAAGGCAATTCTCAGTCACTAGATTCTATTCCCTTGCGGATCGCTAGCGAGTATTACAGCGCGGAAGAGATGGCGAAGTTTCGGAAGCGAAAAAGGAAGGTAAAACGAACAAGGAAGCGTGACAGTGATCTGAAAGCTGACACTTTAGTTCAAAACTCTGAGGTGTTGGATGAAGATTACGGTAGCAGGTAATAATGCTTTTGCGGTTCACGCGTTTTCCCGACACATGTACAATTGTATTCCTTAGGCAACGCGGTCGAGGCCGCGTACGTGAGGAATACGAAGAAGCGACGACTCAGGACATGTCTACCGTCAAACAAGAAGAACAAAAACCAGATTTATCTTTTCTTAAAATTGGTACGCGTTTAGGTCTTAAACTTCGTTGTTGGCTTATGTTTCAGACTACTTTCAATGAGCAGACATCTCCATTGCTATCTTATGGTAATCCGACAAACTCTGTATAATTATGCGATATAACAATAACCATAACCGACTGATACTTCTATATAATTAACGAGGCTCGTAATCGTTTGATCTCGATACCCGTGATTTGTCGCCATAAGTTTCCACATCTCTTTTTAGCCCATCAATCCATCTGGCCGAAGTTTTTCGGTCATCCATCAGTCGTTGAATGTAGTCCACCGTAGTCTGACTCAAGCTGTACGCAGTGAGATGGGGATTAATTTTGTTTTCCATTTTATTCGATTGTGGCTGCTGTCCACATTTGCAAGGCGTCTTGGATAGAATGTCCGTTTTCCCTTTATCCCGTCTGAATGGAGTTCCGATTAGCAGCTGTGTGAGGCTTGGCCTACTTCAAGTTTTCGTCCGTGAGTTCTGGATGGCCCACTCTTGTCCTCCGCACAACGGAGCGGCGCCTCGTCTCAGAAGGCATGAAAATAGAAATTTTCAGTTTGTCCGAAGGCGAGATCGTAGTCTTCGAGTGAAAGTATTTTCCAGTGATCTGTGATTGATCGTTGAATGTCTCACTTCCTTCACTTTCATGATTGGGATATTTTGGCGCCCTTCTTTTCATGAAGTTGATGGTACATTCTGACTCATCAACCATATGTGTCCTACTTTTCATTTTAAGCAGAATCTGCGACCATGTAGCAGGCGTAGCGTGTAATCTGTTTCCTTTCCACAGAGTGGTGCTCATTTATCGTCCTAGGAAAGAAGGTAGGCGTATGACACAGGCCGGAACTTGATTCGGAACACATCGGTTCTGAGTTCGACGCTCTGCCGATTGAGCAATCCCGGTCTGAAGCAATGTGTGGTAAATTCCTTGCTCCATGGAATTCGTGAATAAGACAGAGATTGGCTTCGAGCAGAAACGGACGCCGCCCCTCGGGAATTCGAAGCTGACCTGCTGGACAACTACGTCAATCTCTGATTAATGCTGAATGAATGCTCCTCTCTGAACCGAATCTTTAACGTTTGCACCTGTGACAGGGGCCTAAGCTAACAGGATTTTTTAATGTTTAAGCGTACATTTTTTCTTCCTGGTAAACCTCGGTTGAATTTCGCGTTAGCAATTCGGTATAATTATTTTTAATGTGATGTCTGTAATGGCCGTATCGAAAAGTCCCCCAGAACAACAGTGTTATATCTTGTCATTCAGTCGCCTACGGATCGTGACAATTTTCATTGAATATACATCTGCTCAACTCTAGTTTGAGACGTAGTTCTGCCCTCTACACTGCCAGCGCTTAAATACCTAGTGGCATGCTTAAATGGTCTCACTAGGCATCCAGAAGCAAAGGACTGTGCAATAGTGCTGTCAGGTAATGTGAGAAATAGATTTTCCTTTTCTTTCTTTACATTGCATTTTCGCTCTCAATCCTGTATCATTCTTTTTAATGTGATATCTTCAGCGACGGTATCGAATAGTCCCCCAGAACATCGGAGCTATATCTTGTCATTTTTACGCTGGTGATTTTGCTCTTATGTTTGAGTACCCAACCTGTACATTTATGCACTCTGATGAAAGATCGTCTCTTAGCACAATGTTTAAATTCGATGTTTTGTTTGAAAGTCGAAATATCTGTCAAATCTTATTTAAATCTTTTTGTTTTTTACTCACCGTTTAGAATGGTAGCTGCCAACTGTTGCCAGTTGTCTGTTTAACATGGTAGTCACTGTCAATTTTTCATGTTCATATACAATATTCCGGTATTTTGTTGATTTCATGTTGCAACTTTAATGTTATTAGTTATGTTA